TCCCCCAGCCTCAGCCAGACAGAATAGTGGCAGGATAAGGAGACCTCAGGATCCCTCTGTACGGCCTCAGCACCCCAGAGAGAGCTGCACTATTGCAGGTTCTAGGACAGGCCTGTCCTGAGAGGTTTGTATTCTGTTAAGGAAGAGGGAGAGAAGGAGGGTGTGCATGTGTGTGTGTGTGTGTGTGTGCGTGCGTGCGTGCGTGTGTGTGTGTGTGTGTGTGTGTGTGCACGCTCTCAGAGGACAGAGTAGACCGTTCCGGACGACTCACGACTTTCCAGGCATCTCTGTAACATACCTGGTCCCTGACTATTCCTGCTATACCAAGTGATTTCCTCAAGCAGCTGAAGCTTCTGTGGCACAGGTTCCAGAGGTCGGGGCTGCACGGTCTGCAGAAGGGTGGACGCTGTTCTTAGTAAGATGCCAGGCTCTGTGCCAATTCCGGGAAGGACGCATCTGGCCAGAAGATGGCGCTCCAGCCCTGGGGTGTGACATTCCGGGAAGGACGCATCTGGCCAGAAGATGGCGCTCCAGCCCTGGGGTGTGACCCCCACCCTCCCCATCCCCTGAGCCTGGTCAGGAGGCTGGGGGCTGCTTCAGTGCAGACAGTACCCAGGACAGGCCCCAGGAACTCTGGTCTGGCTGAAACTGCCCGTCTAACTCCAAAGGAACAAGGTCCTCCCTGTGAGACACAGCAGAGTGAATCGCTTGCCTTCAAAAATCTGCAGTAAAAATCCCCGTATTTTCCTGAGGCACGTTCGCTATGGAAGTTACAGGCTGAGAGTGACTCGGAGACAGCTGCTTTAGAAGTCTTCCTTCTGCCTTCTCATGCAGTCTCCTATTTCCAGACTCATTCAAAGTATTAATTTTGTTTTCTCCTTTAAGAAATAACAAATGCTTATTGTAGAGAACTCAGAAAATTATGAAAAAGAAAAGTTACTCACTCATGGTTAAGTTTCTCAGAGATAGCTATTTTTAACAATAATTATTTATTTAATTTTCATTTATTTATTCATTCATTTTAATTTTCTTTCTTTTTCTTTCTTTTTTTTGAGAGTTTTTTTCCTGTAGGGTACGTGTGCTCACCAGAAAGACAGAGACAGAGAGAGATAGAAAGCAAGAAATCACCCCCCAGGGGGGATGGCCACACCGCAATCCCTTCTCCTCCATTCTCCTCTTGGGATCTTAGGCACGCACGCACACGCGCCTGGCATGAGTTTAAGCTGCTGGGTCCGGAACTTGAACTGCAGTTGATTACATGGGAGTCCAGTGACATAGCCATTACGCTAACTGCTGGTCCCCCCCATTCATTTTAATTTGACCAGACACACACACACACACACACACACACACACACACACACACAGAGAGAGAGAGAGAGAGAGAGAGAGAGAGAGAAAGCAAACTCCCAGGTTCAGCACTTGAACCGTGGTCGGCCATGTGGGAGTGCGTAGCGACTTAATCACCATGCTACCGGCTGGCCACAAGATAACTATTTTTAAGATTTGGCACATTTGCCTCTAGTCTTTGTTTAGTAAATGAGTGTGTGTGTGTGCAGTAATATTTAATACAAGCAATATAACACTGAATGTAATTTTTTTTTTTAAAGAGAGAGCTTTGCTATAGGGCGCATACGCTCTCCAGAGAGACAGAGAAAGAGAAATCACCCACTGGAGGGAAGACTACTCCACAATCCTTTCTCCTCCATTCTCCTCTTGCCGTTTTGGGCATGCACACACACAGGCCTAACATGAGCTTCAAGGCACCAGGTCCAGGACTTGAACCGCCGTCGGCCATGTGGGAGTCCAGTAACGTAACCGTTATGCCATCTACTAGTCCCTGAATGGACCATTTTGTATTTGATCTTTTCATTTAACATTTTATCATGAAAATTTCTCTCTTTTGTCAAACTTCTTCAAAATGCTAGTTTTGATAACTGTGCAGTGTTCTTAGAGTAGAGGTCTCAAGATTTAGTTTAGCATCCTTCTTTGGTTGGAAATGGAGGTTGTTCTAGAGAATTCTTCCTTTTTTAAACTTTTTTTCTTCTGTAATTTCTGATTTACATTTAATGTACATCTTTGTGGGATACAGTTTGGTTTTCAAAGCACGCAGTCTGTGGTAAGTCTATCAAAGCTATTAACATATTCATCACCCGCATTTCTTTTAGAGATTTTTGCCTTAGGGCACATGCACTCATGGGAGAGAGAGAGAGACAGAGACAGAGACAGTGAGATTGAAAGGGAGAAATCACTCCCTGGGGGGATGGGCATGCTGCAGTCCCTTCTCCATTCTCCTTCCAGGATCTTGAGCACATGCAGCTGACTTGAGTTTGGGACTCTAACAGCAGTTGTCCATGTGGGAGTCTAGCGATGTAAGTGCAATGCCATCTACTGGTCCAGATCCTCCTCTTTTTTAATACACGGTGTGCGTGTGTGCACACATACATGAGAAAGAGCGAGAGAGCCCACCCATCAGGACCCGGTTATGCCGCGATCCCCTCTCTTACAAACCTCCTTCCTAAGAGGATCCTGGGTACTTGTGCACATTTCCTGGAAGGTTTTTTTCAAGCGTTTGGGGATAAGACTCAAACACAATGGCCCTGTGGGATCAGGTTCCTTCAACAGCACTAAACTGCTGCACTGCAGGGATGGCCCCAGTTCCATCATCACAAAAGGCAGGTGACAAGCACTGTTTTCATAAGTCCTGGTGTCTGTCACATTTCTTGCAAAGGCAAGTGGAGTTGTCAGGTCCAAGTTTGCACTGGGTGTTAAAGACAGAGCACACTGGGTCAGGTGTTTAGAGGTGGTCCTGCCTAGTCCGTAGGCTGTGTTACTGATCCAGCCAGTGTCAGAAGGATGGAAGCACTGGCCTTTATGAAGGTGACAGAGGCAGCTCAGGAGGTGGGAGGTGGGCTCCATTTCTGTTTGGATCTGGCCCCAGCAGAGGCTGGATGGGCCGTTGTCTGGGTGTGTGTGTGGGGTGGGGTAGCCCAGCCTGGGAGGACCTCGGAGCTGCTTGGAGAGGGTGCTGGGGAAGCCCATGAGGAGGTGTGGACACTGGCACTGTGGAGTACTAGCCAGGTGGAGGGTGGTCGGAGCTACTGTGCCTTGTCCTGAACACCTGGGCCAGAACGAGTGGGCCTTGGGAATCGCTCAGCTTTAGACGGGTGACTGTGTATGTAGACTGAGTGACAGCGCCAGCAGGGGCTGGGCAGGACCTGGGGACACGCATGAATATCTCCGCAGGAAGTTTTCGAGTATTTCCTCTAAGTGGTAAAGACCGGAAATCATCTCACATCACCCAGATGAGACGTTGTGGTCACATGGGTTCAGAGGAGGCAGTGTGCGGCCAAATGGCTTGTGAAAAGCCTTGGGAGTTTCTTGGGTTCGGAGTTAAGCTAGGGTGAATGACACACTTTCAAACTGTTTTCACGTGGGCCATTCCATTTCCTGCTCTTTTGTTTTGTGTTCCAAGATCACTGCGGACGCTTACGAGAAGCTGGGCTTCCCTGGAGCAGAGGAAATGGCCAATATGTTTCGTTTCTATCAGATGAAGCCCGACCGTGACGTCAAGCTCACCCACCGACTAAACCCCAAAGTCAGAAGCTTCAGCCAGTTCCTCTCGGAGAACAAGGGAGCCTTTAAGGACATGTAGGAGTCAGCCGTGCGGTCCTGCCCTGCCCACAGCCCCGCCGTCTCTGACTCCCTCCCAGCATCACGCACACATGTAGAGAACACACGTGTTAGCACATGGTGACGAGGGCTCCCCGCAGCCCTCTCCTCCGTAGGACACAGCGCACTGGGGATTTGGCTCAGGGCCTGGGCTCGCGCTTACCTGTCCAGCTCGGGAGAAGCCCCACACTCAGATCACCCTGTCTCTCTGCAACTCCAAGCCACCGCGAGGGCCGTGGCCTGAGGCGTCTGCTTCTGTACCGCGGATGGGAGGCCATTCGGGTTCCTCTTGGGTGTGTGATCTCAAGTCCTGGCCTTGAAATTCCCTGGGCAGCCGCTTTTCTCAGGGGCATTGCGAAATTACCAAGCATTTTAAAGTAACTTTCGCTAAAAAGTAAACGTCTTCGTAGACACTTTCTGGGGACCGTGGTGTTCAGCGACAAGCAC